CGAAAGACCCAAAGAGCAAAACAGGGAATGAATCAAAGGTATCTGTGGGGTTGCAGAAAAATTGATGGGCAAATTGCAGCCACAACTTTTCTTCTTCTAGCCTTTTATTTCTGTATCTTTCTTATCCTGATGCAAATATACAACAAAACAAAATCCCACCCAACCTCTAGTGCCTTCTCAAAGCTTTTCACAGTGACAGGGTGGAGAAGCAATTAATAATACATACAAATCTTCATCATTATTTTGAATTACTGCTGCTTGAATCTTTTTCTGAATTATTGTGTGCTAAAATTGATTAGGGAACTTATTGGGAGAGATTTAAAGTTAATAATAACGACTAACTTTTCGATTTTAATTCCTCCAGAAGAGTTCTAATTAGGCAATGGGCAACCTAAACAGTAAAATGGCATTATGCTCAATGTAACTTTGTCAGGTGCGAACTAAATAAATTAGCCTCCAAAATAATAATAATAATAATAAATCCAAGATGTCAATTCAATCCAAACTCCCAATATTAGATAGAGAATAATGTTATGTAACTTTACTGGTGTTGCAATCTCAATCTAAATTACGTTAGAAGATAGATTAAATGAAATGTGAAATTAATTGAGATGTTAAACGAAAAATGAGTCATTTAATTCCAAACCTTCAAGAAATAATAAAAATCTTGAAATATAACTCAAACAAAAATTACTATTGATTAAGTCTAGAGTTGTCAAGAAGGACGGACCGGCCAAACCCGTGAAATCGGGACCTCAGGCCGACCCGTGACCCGTGCGGGCGGTTCACGGGCCATAAAGGTGTAACCCGCGGGTTTCACGGGTTGCATCCCCACGGCCGCGATTAACCCTCGGCCCGTGAAAAAAAAAAATTAAAATCGAGGCTCTCTCCCCAGCAGGCTACGCCTGCTGAGCTGCAGGCTCCTGCCTGCAGCTGTTCCATGGAGGCTACACCTGGTGGTCAAATCAATATATATATATATATATATATATTTTAGTAACGGTAATATTATTTTTATAACTGT